TAAACTAAACTATTATATACATCATTTAAAGTTGAATAAAAATAAAAAATAAGAATATGTTTGCCCTCCATCTCTCTCTCTCTCTCTCTCTCTCTCTCTCGCGTGCACTCACACATCTACTCCTTCCTTCACAGGTTTGTTTTGCTGCTTCTCCACCATTCCTTCACAGGTTTGTTTTGCTGCTTCTCCACCATGCATCAGAACTAGAACAAATAACATTTCAAATGGCCATCAAAGCAGTAAATAATCCCCTCATCATTGTATGCATACACTCTACAGCAAAGGAAGGTATCCTCAAAATTACGTTGAAATCATCTACTCCTTCCTTCACAGGATCGTTTGCCTGCTTATCTACCATGGATCAGACGTAGATCATATAGCATTTAAATGGCATCAAAGCAGTAAATGATCCCCTTGTCATTGTATTTATATACAATACAGCAAATGAATGTATCTTTGCAATTAGGTTGGAATCATATTAGGTTGAATCATCCATATGAACTGCTAATGTCAGAAATACTGACACATCTAAACCTCAAATTACCTAAGGGCTTTTACCTGGCTCATGATCCAAGCCATCGAGACCCATATTTGAAGAAAGTTGAAATCAAAGGTTTCATGGCCAGATTAGCATTTATTGGAAGACCTTTAGGTGGATCAACAACTGTAAGGCTTTTTACTATCAAACCCTAGCCATAGCAGGTTCATTATACCTCTCTGGCGTCGTTAGATATTTGGGGTGAAATGGAGCCCACAAAAAGGTGTTGCGATGTTTTCATTGTCTTTGATATCTACTTGCAATAGAGGAAATGCACACATGTGGATAACTCCTTGAAGGGGGTTTTCTTAGTTGTTCGCCAAAAACTAGAAGCACATCCGATCCAGATTTCATGTGCTTTGGATTCGTAGAGTCAGGAAATCTAGGTAATTTAGCATTGGAAAAACAGGATTTTGAGTCTACCAATCAATGGGATAAAATATTGTTTGTGTCCTAAAGCTTTGGGCATGACCTGAGCTTGTGTCGGATCAGTTGCGGGAGCTAATTACTGGTTTATTGCATCTAAGCCAAACTTTTATTCCAATTACACATTGGAAGACATCTGAGCTATTTGAAGGGTCCTTTCTCAGGTTAAATCTTGGCTTTTTTTATATTTACCTTCTTTACTACTTTCATTAAGATCTGTGAATCCAAGGGCAAAGGTCACCAGATCAAATGCTTAATCAACTGTGATTTTGATGGATAATTCTAACATAGAGGTTATCTTAGAGTAACTACATGAAAGTAATTATCTAGCATGGCACATTCAGTGACTATTGCTCCCCAACAGACACAGCCACCTCTCTCCGCCATCGCCGAATTAGGGAGAACCAGAGATCGACCTAGATTGGGTCAAGTAGGTGTGCATCTCCCTCCCCCTCTCTCTCTCTCTCCCCTCCAGATTTTAGAGAGAAAATGCAGGGCTCCATTGAAGAGATCCCCCTTTTATCTCAAGTACTTAATTTCAAAGTTATTTCAATTTACCATATGTCTTCAACATAATGGTAATGAACCCCAAGCATCCTCCAAACCCCAATGACCAACACAGGAAAATAGGAAATGACCCATGCATGAAGGACATTCCTACACTGTTTGAAGGCTCCTAAAGCACATTATTTACACGGAAAGATCAGCAGCAGTGAATGCTCTAAAGTTTGCACCCATTCTCTAATACGGTTTGTATACTATGGTACATGTACCATACAGGTTCATGTGCCATTGGCCTTCTGCTGTCAAAAATGGACAAACGTTGCCAAGTCATGTCCACTTGAGCAGATGAACCATTGACATATCCATCTGCTGTTGACAAAGGGGCCACAGCTGATGATACATGTACTAAATCAAATGCTATGCTAACTAAATGTCAGTCCAGCAAACAAGCAGCAAATGTCAAGGGAGAGCATGTATGCACAATGGGCATCATCTGAGAGTCTTCACCTGACCAAAACTACTATCTTCACGTAAAAACAAATGCTTCCCTAAGAAGAGTATGAGAAGGTCGCAACAGCAGAAGATTGGAATGCTATTACAGTTGCAATAAGAGAATCTATGTTAGTAAACCAATCTATTCTTAGAAAATACATCATTTAAAATTTGAACATAAGTGTGCTTTGAACATATCCCTAATATCCATTCCACTTTGCAATTTAACAGGTGTGTGCAGAAGTTTCTGTTGTCTGGCTGTCTTACTGGGGAACAAACACACACGGCCTATGCACCGTGGTTGCACGTACTAAATGCATCTCCATGAGTAACCCCCTCTGATAGTGGATGTGAAGCACAGAGGTTTTGACCCAATTGCTCGTGCCACATACTAAAAAAATGTGAATCCATGCACCCGTAGTTCAATCTCCGTTGTCATGATGATCGATGGGAGAGACACCCCCCCTTCCCCCCCACAATCTAAACCACATTGAACCACACAGTTGACCACGCAACTTCTTAATTCATGACCACAAGACCAAATTCACACAAACATAATATTGGAGTCAGAGTCGCATGAGTAATGCATGGAAAATAGATTTACCGCATTAAGAGCAATATCCATGGCATTCCAACTAATTATAATTACAGAAATATGACTACACGAAAATGCACGAGCAATTAGAGACTGTGATAGACCACATGAATAACATGACAAGGAAGATGAGTTCCGTAATCTCAACAAGAAAGCATGCAAATCAGAACACTAACCAAAGAAATTCCCGTTTATTAAAAGAGTTAATCAGGCAAACCTTGCAAATGGGGCTAAAAAAGCAGAACAACGATCACGGAGACTTGCAAGATCTTCAACATCTTGAAGATTCACACAATCTATATGTGCCGCACCAAGCAACTGTCGATCCAGAGATTTTCGCAAGTCAAACTCATTGCAGAAATCCCAATGATTACCTGTACAAGGAAATGTTCTTAGCCCCAGTATTCTGACAACTTTCCCTTTTAATATTTCAGAAGCAGATAAAAACCTTGATAGATCACTCTGTAGTTCCATTACTAAAAGTACAATAATCACTCCAAATGATGAAAAAAGTTTGAACTAAGTAGTCACATAGATGTGTAAAGGAAATGAGATAAACGAGATCAATTCTCAGCTATGGCTAATTATATATATAAACTCACACCTGAATGGAAAGAGGCAGCAATAAGTTGCCAGATCTAAAAGTGAAATAGTGATCACATGAGGCAAATTCCTGTGAGGATCCTTTTCTGAAACAAGCAACACAAACATCCACAAACAAGAACCATCAAGAAAAGAATACAGTCATATTCTTCACCTGGCACAAGTTTTGGGTAGTACTCTAATCCCCAAAACATAATTATTGAGCTTTGGGAGAGAGAAAATCCCTCTAAAAAGAAAAACCAAAAAAGGATTGAAAATTCTTTTTAAGTTTGAAGTTTTTGGGGTTCTTTCAAATTATTGCAAAATTTAAGTGGGATAGAAATCCATTGATTGTGAGACTCGAAGAGTAATTAAGGAGGTGCTATTGCAACCAAAGCTCCCCAATTCGCTCCCCTTGTTAAGTTTGAATCTTTTGGGGTTCTTTTGAATATGAAAAATTGAAAAGGATGAAAAGAGATTGACTTGAATCTTGAGACTCGAATGGGTGCTAAAGGAGGTGTCATTGCAACAAAAGCTCTCTGTTTGACGCCAACTTCGATTAGGTTTTGAAGATTAGTTTATAATCAATTTTGGGTTCATGGTTTTTTATACTTTTAAAGATGGTGTTTTAGTTCATGAGATATGTCTTTATGCAAAAGGTAATTTATCAAATGCACCAAAGGGATTTACTATTTAACATTTTACACATGTTAATTTAATTTTAAAAATTCCATATTCCAATATGTTGCCTTGACATGTCCCTACCTTTGTTCTCCTTTTTTGATCCTTTATATTTCTATTTAGTAATAAAACTTTTCGCTAATGATAAAAATAAATAAAAAATCCTATTAAAATACAAATGATCATGAGATGGAATAGTTGGCGATGGACAAAATGCTAAAAGTTGATACGTTAGGTGTATCTTGATAAATTTCCCTATTTATATGGTCTGTTTAATCCATAAGGCTTGATGCTCTGTACGGCCTTTATTCGTAATGTTTGTATAGCTTATTGTTTTTTTATTGCGAGTACAACTTGCAAGGTTGTGCGAGTTTCAGTCTTCTAGATTTCTACATTTTTCAAACTTAAGTATGCATTCACAAGCAGTACAACAAAAGCCGCTGCTATATTTTTTTGAGATGGAATAGTTGACGATGGACAAAATGTTAAAAGTTGATAAGTTAGGTGTATCTTGATAAATTTCCCTATTTATATGGTCTGTTTAATCCATAAGGCTTGATCTGCGTACGGCTTTTATTCGCAATGTTTGTATAGCTTATTGTTTTTTTATTGAGAGTACAACTTGCAAGGTTGCGCGAGTTTCAGTCTTCTAGATTTCAACATGTTTCAAACTTATGTATGCATGCACAAGCAGTACAACAAAAGCCACTACTATATTTAAAAAACATCTTATGTCATGGGGTTTTTGATATCAAAACCAAAAAACCCTAACACCCCCAAATCCCCCATGCTCTGTCTGGGGTGCAGCAGGCGCCTCATTCACGAGGCACCTGCCTAGGTGGTACCTTTGTTTTTTAAAACACTAAAAAAACTTAGAGCATTATATTGCTCCTCAATTGGTCTGGAAGACTTGGACAAGCAAATCATCTGAGCAACAGAAATGAATGACAAGCAATTCATAAGAAAAATAAAAGTATAGATCAGGACAATCAAAAGCACTGAGCTCCTAATTTTCATTTCTCATAGTCATTGATGAGTAAAGAAAGTATGGATCATAGAGCCCTAGGCCTGATGTTTCTAAGTAATTGAATTGAAAGCCCTAGGCATGATGTGTTTGAGTAATTGAATCGAAAGCCCTAGGCCACCTAAGGTTTCTGAGTGATCGAGTTTCAGAAGTCAACATCATCATCATAGCCTTTTCCCAATTAATTGGGGCCAGCTACACGAATCCCGATCAGTCATGCTTCTATATTAAAGGCCATACCCTCAATGAGGCCATAAGTCCCCATATCTTTCCGAATTACTTCCACCCACGTTCTTTTGGGCCTACCTCTTGCCTTTTTAAGTCTTTCTACTTGAACTTACTTGCACCTCCTAACAAGTGTTGTACTTAGTCGGTTCCATACAAGGTCAGCCCACCTAAGCGTACTATCTCTCATCTTATTGCTTATTGGTGCCACACCTATATTCATTGCAGAAGTCAACATTTGTCTCAAAAAACTAAAGTATGCATCATAGATGAAAATTCAATCAAATCAAAGAGAGAGAATATGAAGAGTTGTAGAGACACAATCAGGTATGGGTTAATAAATGATGAAAAGGGGAGGATTTTCCCTTTCAAGCTTTCCTAGTGAATGATGCAAATTAATCAACGTTGGATATTGGTGCATGTAATAGAACCAGTAAGTTGATGTGCCAGAAAACTATTTTTGAAACAGACATGCCAGGGACGGACACAATGCACTTTCATTATAGATTCATGCCAAATGAAAGAAGGAACAGTAAAAAACACCTTTATGATACAAGCTATATCTTTCAACAGACAGGAATTACCAAAGAAGAATAAAAGGAGGCATGATATCATGGACCCTGTCAATTACTGATTTTTCAAGGCTTAGTGGTTGTTTAAGTCTTCCCTAGTTTTAGTTTGAGTTGCTTTGGTTAAGAGCCCTTTCCTACATAACTTGGAGCCTAAGTTAAGATCTTATGTTGAGGCCTATAATATGTACAAAGGAGGGGACCACCTAGACAATGTTATTTATCCAAACAACTTTATTATAGTATTTGATAGGTGGTGGTGCTGAATCCATCAAAACCACAGAGAATGTCTTGCTGATTGTACACCGATATAACGGTTTGTTCAAACAAATCTTCCCTTTAACCCAACTTTTTGCCAATTTTTTATCCCAATTAAAACTAAGCTGTTACCTAAGCCCCACAATGATGTAAGATAGCAAGAACAGTCCCACTGGAGTGGCACTGAGTTTGGTTGATTGTTTACTATATTGAGTTTCAATGGATTCATCAGTAAGGAAAAAAAGGATCGTATTAGTGCTAATATTATCTTATCGAAATTAAGTTCAATATGAAGGGATTATTTATCTTTAGATCTTCCACTCAAGAAAAAAAGATGCTCAATATTGAACCAGACTTGTATTACATTGAACAAAAGCTTTGAAAGACATGCATTCCCTCCACATCTCTTGAGAACATGATATGGGCCGCCCTCCTTTCAATGCATTTTCTCTTGAAGTATCAAAAATGAACATATATGTGCCTTTTATAAGTTACCTCTACTTACACTTCAAGCCACACCACCATGCATAATTTGTAGAGAGGATTTTCAGAAGTCAGAATATAAAACAGCCATGCCATCAGAATCTTAATAAGAGTAACCAGGCAATGAAGGTCTATGATTTGTAACAAATGACTTAGCTAGACTTCCATCATTCTTGGCTGGAAGCAAACTCGATAGCTGATACCAATGTTGAAAAATGCGGATTCGACAGCCTATGAGGATACCCAGATACCAAGGCAGCCCTTTGATTTGGGGGGATGAGGGGTGGGTCAGGTCTCCACTTTTAGAGAGAGAGAGAGATGTGCTTGTGCACATGTTTATTTGCATGAGTTTAAAAAAGTTTGAGAAATACAAGGGATACCCTTTTTCAACTCTCTCTCCAAAAAAACTCCTCAAAAGTCATTAATCTTCTAAAAACTGCACCTTTATGTGCACGTGGCCACTATGTCTCTATCAACACCATAATAGCTAGAGAGAAAGAGAGAGAGGGAGAGACGCAAAAGAGAGAGGACTCAGAAGAGAGGGACAGAGAGAGGACTCATCGGGGAGAGAGAAACAGAGAGCTAAAGGGGCAGAGAGAAAGGACTCATCGGGGAGAGAGAAAGAGAAAGAGAGTCATGGGGCCAAGAGAGTCCAATAAAAAGAAAGATCTTGTCAAAACGTTATGGGGCAGAGAGCCATGTGCCTTCTCCATTCGGCACAGGGCCACCAAGTACCTGGCCCTTTTTGTTGCCACCAACCACCTAACCTCCTTTTTAGCGTTTTTTATTTGCTATTCATGTGTCTTTTCTTGCTTTTTTTATTTGCTATTAATGTGTCTTTTCTTTTGATAAAAAGATAAATACATGTGTCATTCTCTCAAAAGTTAAAAAGAGGGTGACACATGGCTTGTTTTCTTTCTCTTTTAGTTTTTTTAAAGGGGTTTGGGCGCCCAGACCTGCTTAGGTGGGCGCCTTGGGCTCCTAAGTGCTTGCCTTAGGCATATCCACCCAGATCCCACCACCTAGGCTATGTCAAGGCAGTTTGTTGGTGAGACCGTCTAGGTGCTGGGCGGCCGACTTTTTCATCACTGGCTGATACGTTCTCAAAGAATTGTGCATCACTTGAATCCCAAACACCACAGTTGTATACTTTTGGGGTTATTTCACTTGACGTTTTTTAGTAGAGCACCTAATTTGTGGTCTGCCTACATGTTTTGCACTTCACCTTTGCCTTTTGTTTCCTATCTGCTCTCTTTATCTCCCTATACCAAATCTCTCTCTCACTCTTCCGACATGTTTTTTGATCTCTCATCATGTTCCACCTCTTCCTATCTCTCCCTTTCCCTTCCCCCCTCACTCTCTTCCCTTCACCCTCTTCCTCTCTAGCATTGTATTTCTTTCTCTCCCTTGATTGTGCGGTTGTAGAGCACCCGAACTGTAAGCTGTCAGTATCCACATCTCGTGGGCCTCTTGGCAACCTCGATGTCTGTCTCTAATACAGTCTGGCAACGACCCTGCTCTCACCAACCCTACCCTCCAGGCTTCAAGTGTC